CCAGAGGATAGACTCATCCACTATAGACCTTTCCACCTTCTGTGTGCCACTGTGGCAATCCCTTTTCGCCTATAAAAGGAGGCCCGAGGCGTCCAGGAGAGGGATTTGGCTCTTTTGGGAAAGTTGCACCCCGTAGCTAGCTCAAGAACACAAGAACACTCAAATACATCCACCAAAGCAGGACTAGGGTATTACGCATCTTCGCGGCCCAAAGCTGGGTAAACGATCCGTGTGCTTTCTGTCAGACCCGCTCTTTGCACAACCTCGCGCTCGCCAACCGTAAAAGGGATCCCAGTGACCCCATAGGTGTCGTTTCCACCGACATAAAGAAATAAATAATAACTTTATTATTGCCTCTAGGGCATATTTCCTTCACTTTCCCCCTCTGGGAGACAGAATTGGGGTGGGGGAGGAGGAGTCCTTCCCGTCTTCACTAGTGCAGTGACCTGCTATACAAACAGTTTTTAATCCCTTTCCGCGACGGCATTTTAAACCGTCGCCTTGCTTGTGTGTGCGATAGGGGGGTCCTTCCCACATGATCCAGAAACCATCGGCGATAGGTCCTCCGGTCACACACGCGGGGCAAAAAGAGCTCATGTGCGATCGGGCGAGCCATCGCATACAATTATACATGCCCAATCATTTCCATTCGTATGTACATCCCACACACTGAATCCCATACAAACATTTCCGTTCATATGTACATCGCACATAGTGAATCTTAGACAAATGTTTTCGTTTGTACATACATCACACACGATTTCCCCCATTACATCGTCTGTGATAGCATTGACATTGCAGACCATATTAATAATTTTATCGTTTGTGTTATTAAATGCATCACGCACTGTCCCTAGAACAAACTGTGTGGCATAAGTTGTCAATCACACACACTTTTTATATGGAAAATGTTTGTGCAAGGTGGCCTAACGCAAATAGTTGTCTAGACAAAGTCGTGTGTGATTGTTCATTGATCCAACATGTTTACTTCCTAGAAATTGTGTGGGTTGTCTGAAGTCATCGCCTACGGTGTTTTCTCAATAACCGTTTCTAATAGAAAACCCCAATTAGCACGCTAATTGTACAATTATTTTTAATCCATTTAGTAATCAAATTTTGATCACTTGCTCTTCTAGATGATCCATTATGATCTCTTTAGAAGCACAATGAATTCTTCACTTGACTTACTTGCTTCATTATTAGATCAACTCAACTTATGAGCTCATCATAATCTCATATTCAAGCCTTATCTAGAATTCTTCCCTTTAATCATTCTCTCAAAATCTTGATCCATAGCGGATCAACTCATAAGTCCAAGCATGACAAACTTTGAGTTCATTCAATGAACTTCAACTTGATCACACCTTATACATCACATAGACTTCATATTGATTGTACTTGATTCAATCATAGAACTTAATCTTGAGGTCCTAAAGTCCATTCTTTTGCTTCTTATTGGTCATAATATATTCATCACTTCAGCTCAATGATTTTGATGCATATCTTTATGTTGATGGAATTCATTCCAAATCCATCCAATTTCTTCATGCATTGCCTATCAAACTTTTCTTCAAATACATCTCAATGGAAAACATTAGTCCATGTGGATTATAACTAATTACCAAAACCACACATGGGGAACTCCATGAAATTTCAGCCAGACTCCTTGTCTTTGGCGATTGAGTCCGAGTCAGCGCTCCTGATTTTCTCGCCGCCTCGGTTTCCCACGTTACCGCCAACTCTCTTATTGGCCTGCGTGATGCCCACCAGAAGAAGTTGTTGTAGGTTGGCGGTCAACGTGTCTTGAGGCTAAGCTGTCGAAGATGATAGAGATTCAGAGACTCTCTGGCAGGCCTAAGCAGAGCAAGTTGTCTTGAGGCTGAGGTGTCGAAGATGATAGAGATTCGGAGACTCTCTGGCAGGCCTAAGCAGAGCAAGTTCAGATCAAGCAAATCAGTAAAAGAGGATATTCCGGTTTCCTAAAATTAGTGATATGGGCCGACCCATTCTCGTTTTCCTCCCCACTATTTGTGGGAAGGTTCTATTTTTTTCTTTTGGTTTTTTCTACTTGTTTTTCTAATTCTTTCCTTTTTATTTTTAGTTGTTTTATTTCAAAATTTCTTGAATATTTTTTAAAATTCCAAACTTTTTTGTAATGTGAGAACATTTTTCAAATTTCTAAAAAATAATAATTTTTTATCAATTTTTAAAATTCATAAACATTTTTTTACTTTTGGGAACATTTTCAAATTAATGTATATTTTTCAAATCCAAGAACGTTTTTAAAAATCATGAAAATTCTCTAAATCCAAACCATTTTCAAATTCAGAACATTATTCTGAAATCCAAGTTCGTTTTTCAATTGGTGAATATTTTTTGAAATTCAAACAAAAAATTCATGAATATTTATTAATGCGCAGACATTTTTTTCAAAATTTGGAACATTTCTAAAAAATTAAAACATTCGTAAATCCCTGAATATTATTTAAAATTATCAAGTTCATGAAATTTACTGAAATCCAAAATATTTTATGAAATCCTAGAAGCGCGTTACCTTGCCTCCCTGTTAGAACAAAAGGTAGTGTGATGGCGTCTACTCCAGCGACGGCTGGTTCGATTAGGCAATCCACAGTAGAGTTTCTTAAAAAGCAGCCCTAAAAAAAGTGGAGTTTCTTACAAAAGAAAAAGGCAATCCTCAGTGGCTAAGTGGGATGAGATTAAGAAAATCTTGGTCCACTGAAGGATAACTACCACCAGCGGCCCAATGAAAGTTTCCTTATTCAAAAATGGTACACTGTACGTAGTAGAGATGGAGACAGTGGCCTGTCTATCTTGTTGTGTCCTTGTTTAATACGAGTACAATCGTCTTCCATGTGCTCGGCTCAGTTGCAGCGGGACTGACCGCTTAACATTCCTCTTTTATGCGAGACAGGGTTGTTTAACGCGGCCACCCACCACATGCTCGAGGCAGGATCGGTTAACTGGCCCGTGCTCCCTCTGGTTCAATATGTAGTGCGCATGGTTTGCAGCTCCAAAACCAAGGCATGACGTGGACTTGTACTTTTGGACCACAATAGCCCTGCCTGCACACACTCTGTACGCATGCATGTGGATGTGGTTGCATCTCCTGTGAACAGCTGAGGGTAATTGCTGTCCAATGTAGCTCACGCGCACTACATTGTGGAATTCTAGTAAAAAACTAATACGCATTAGATAAGGGAATGGAGGGAGTATATAGATTATCTCGGAGATATTGCAAGTTGCAGCGCGCTGGACCGTGCGTACCAATCGACTCACTTGCTTGTGCTAGTTATAGGGAGTGACTGTGCATGCATATAGATATGGTAGTATGAACACCAGCCCGACCACCTTACCCTTGCCCGCTGAATTTCGGCACTGCATTCAGGGTCTTGTACCTAACAGCTACTCACTGGTCAGTGGTCACAATATATATTTTGGCTGTGCATATCATGTACGAGATGGTTGTATGGCAAACAGCAGGCAGCGTGCATGACGACTGAACAGTAGATAGAGTGGAGCTTAAAAAAAGACGCCACTGGTGCTGACTGAAACAGCCGAGACTGAGAATTCGCATCACCCCATAGAATGAGATCTTCAAATCCAGCACGTCACAAATCTTTCTGAAGCCGGATCAGCACGTTACACCTCTGCGATGTGCGTCGGCAGCATGGCTCTCTCATGTCCATTGTGAAAAGAACATGAACAGAACCGGCAAAGGAGCCAAACCGAAACCACGCCACGGTAGCATGCGCAACGGACTCTTAGAGCATCTCCAACAGGTGCGCCAAACTAGCGCCGCGCCGCAAAATCCCTCGTTTTAGCACACGCGCAACCGGAATAGTTGCTCCAGCGGACGCGCGAAAACAGCGCGCGCGGCATACGTAGTCCAGCGCGTGGGCCGAAACGCAATCGCGCGCCGCTTATTTGCTGCGTCCGTTCCCGCACGTTGGACTCTCACGCGCTCACTCGCACCTCTCACCCTCATCCAGCCGCGCCGCCGCCGCCGACCGCGCCACCCGGCGACCGTTCCGGCGCTTCCCCAGCCTATCCCCGTCCCACGCGCACTTTCTCCGGTCCGTTTTGTTGCCTCCTATCATGCCATTCGACGTCCCGCATCGCATAATGATCTTCAGAAGGATCTCATTAAGGAGTGGTGGGCATGGAATGAACGACAAAGAGCATCATGATTTGTGCGTTCGTTATTGTATTGTTGAACTATTTGTTATGTTCATTGCACTATTTTTTGTACTGAACAATAAACTGTTTGTTTGAGTTGTAATAAACGAAATTGAACTATTTATTTTTGTTTGTTTTGATCTTTTTGCTTCTGTTTTCGAATGCATATGTTGTTTGTGCGAGTCGCGCGCTGTATTTTTGCGCGCTGATGAAGCGGCGCGCGCGCTGCATTTTAGCGCGGTTGCTGGAGCAGGCGCTGCGCGCCGCGCCAAAACAGACAATGAACACGCGCTAAAACTGTTTTTTGCGCGCGCCGCGTTCGGCGCGTGTTGCAGATGCTCTTATACAGGAAAACAACAGGCGGCGCAGAAATCCAGTGAGCCGTGCCCGTGCGTGCGCCACCGCAAAACGAGAGCCGTCACGGTCATCCTGCGGCCGTGCATGACCCACGCTTTCGTCCTGTCGCGCACGCCGAATCCAAGCCGAGACGCCATCCGTGACGACGAGGCACCGTGCCAGCACGCGGCGGTAGCCCGAAGATAACATCCACCACCACGTGGGCGGCTCAAGATTAGTTTTCCGTTTTCAACCAGTGTTGACTCCCAGGCATGGCACCGATGTTTGAGTGCAGACTAGAAAAACATCACTGTATTACTGCTCACAGTTAATTATCCACTACTAGGAAAAGTGCCACTGCTCATGTTACAGCAGATGACGTACGTACGTCACGATAGATGAGGAATCAAACCAACGACTCACGCAGCGACTACTACTACGACGACTTCTTGTCCTTGTTTATTCATTCACCGTCCGCCCGAGAGGCCGGAGACGGCCGAGACGTCGCCGGAGGTGGGGCTGGCGTCCGTGGTGACCGTGGACGGGAAGGACATGGCGAAGGAGTCGAACCCGTCGTTCTGCATCAGCGCCAGCGTGGTGTAGCTGAGGAACGTCGGCACCACCTCCGGCACGGTCGCCTCGCCCTCCAGGTACTGCGTCACCTGCCGCATCCCGGGCCGCGCGTCCGGCAGCGGGTGCGCGCACATCAGCCCCAGCTTGATCGCCAGCCGCGCCTCGTCGGCGTCGTACTTGCCGCACAGCCGCGGGTCCACCGTGTCCAGCCCCGCGCGCCGCCGCTCGTGCTCCTGCACCCAGTCCAGCAGCACGTTCTGGTCGTCGGCCGCGATGCACCCCAGCGGGCGCCGCCCGCAGGTCACCTCCAGCACGAACACGCCGAACGCGAACACGTCCGTCACCGGCGTCGCCTTGCCCGTGCGCACCAGCTCCGGCGCCAGGTACCCCATGGTGCCCACCACGTGCGTCGTCTGCGGGTCCACGCCGTGGTCGTACAGCCGCGCCAGCCCGAAGTCCCCTAGCCGGCCGTTCATGTCGGCGTCCAGGAGCACGTTGCTGGCCTTGATGTCGCGGTGGATCACGATCTTGTCCCAGTCCTCGTGGAGGTACAGCAGCCCCGACGCGACGCCCCGGATGATCTGGAACCTCTGGCTCCAGTCCAGGACGGGCCTGGTCTTGTCGTGCAGGTACTTGTCGAGGCTGCCGTTGGGCATGCAGTCGTACACCAGCAGGAGCTCCCCCTGCCGGCGGCAGTAGCCGAGCAGCTGCACCAGGTTCCGGTGCCGGAGGTGGCCGAGGCTGACCACCTCCGCGATGAACTCCTTCATCCCCTGCTTGGAGTCGTGCGACACCCGCTTCACCGCGATCTCCAGGTTGGACCTCGGGAGCACGCCCTTGTACACCCTGCCGAAGCCGCCGGTGCCCAGCAGCCGCCGGTTCTTGAACCCCTTGGTGGCCTTGTACAGCTCCTTGTACGCGAACCGGTGCGGCCCGAACTCCACCTCCCAGTCCTCGCGCACCTCCGCGTACCGGATGCGCGTGCGCACGAACATGAAGAAGGCGATGGCCAGCGCGAGGACGAAGGCCGCGGTGGCGATCGGGAGCACGATCTCCAGCACCTTGGACCGCGGCTTGGGGCCGAACCGCGGCAGCGAGGGGAGCTTCGAGGTGTCGAGCGGCGGCGCGGGTCCGTTGAGCGCGAAGCTCCAGCCGAGAACGTAGTGGCGCGTGAAGATGACGCCCGTGGCCGCCGAGAACCCAACGTACGCCGTGTCGGTGACGACCGCCGAGAGGTTGACGGGCGCGGAGATGAGGGGCTTCCTCGGCCTGGGCACGTCGAGGGGCGCCATGGCGACGTCGAGCCGGGTGGTGGCGCCGTCGTAGTCCACCCAGACCTGCATGGGCCGGCGGCTGATGAGGCTGAGGTTGTTGAACACGCCCGTGGCGTCGTCGTACCACCCGGCGGAGTGGTTCTGCACGGAGCGCAGGCTGTTGAGGTCGACGCCGACGTGGTTGCTGTTCATGTCCTGGAACTCCGGGTTGAGCATGGTGTCGAGCTCGACGGCGAAGACGCCGTTGTCGGGCTTGCCGTTGTCGGTGACGTTGAGGATGCCGAGGTACTGGCCGGCGTTGAAGGTGGAGAGCCTGGTGCTGGGCGCCACCACGAACGCCATGCCGTTGTCGCTGAGCACGGTGAAGTTGGAGACGATGGCGAAGACGAAGGCGACGGAGAAGGACTGCACGGCGCCGTTGCGCATGCGGAGCGGCGTCGGGTGGAACGCGTGGCCGGCCGCCTGGCTGGTGCCGTTGCTGAGCGCCAGCAGGCCGTTGGGCGCCACGGCGGCCAGGCCGTCGAGCGTGAGGTTGGCGCTCGCGAAGCCGTTGTAGGCGAACTGGTCGGTGTTCTGCCCGGCGCCACGGCCGAAGCCATCGGCGCCGAGGAGGACGAGGAGGACTGGGAGGAGGAGGAGAAAGCGGCGAGGAGCCATGGCGAGTGTCCGCCGTGCGTTGCTTGCGGCGTCCGCTGCGCCTCGTCTGTTGTGCGAGCAGCGCAGGCCTGGGGGTTTGTAGTGTAGAGTGTGATGGTGGACTGCCGCGTGTGAACGATGCGATCCGGAATTTGGTGATCGTGCGACGCATTGACCCGAGCGGCGAGTCTTCGTTCAAAATCTGCTGCTTTGGGTGCCAGTAGTAGTAATCAAGATTGTGTTGCTAACGTGGGTGCCTGGGTGGGGAGGGGGTGCTAATGCTAATCAAGACTGTCGATAAGGCTGTTTGTAATGGATAGTATCATAAATTAGTATCATGTAATATATGATACTAGCATATAATATTGTTTCCTTAATGCAAAGTATCATATAATAGTATTACGAACGACTTTATTTATTGTCATGCATGACACATAGTAATATACAATTTATTATAATCCGGTATCATAATAGTACTACACTTAATTTTTTTTAAAATTTAATTCTATGTCACCTCATGTAAATTGCATACTATTAACATACATAATACTAGTTATGATACTTTCATTACCATCGTCTTGATGGAGAGTACAATCATAGGAGGATTTCAGAGCAAGATCACACTACATAGACAAACTATGCCAGTGCTGCAGTGGGGACCTTGCCCTGCCCAGCGTACGCGTGCATTGTACTTCGACGACTCCGGGAGTCAAAGTCAAAAAGAAGTTTATACAAAATTACATATCTTATTAGGTTAGGTGGGCAATGACATTATGACAGGAGTGAGTGGTTGAGCGTCATACCGCAACGCTGTATCCTAGCCTGATAGATACGATACGAGGCAGCTGCTAACTGCGACGAAATTGAGTTGGCGCGCGCCCATCTTTGACTTCTCCTCGGCGCATCACATTTCTTACTACTCGTGTCAGGATCATCTAAGGTTACAGAGAATTGGACCCGGAAATCGCCAGTCTCAAAAGAACCGGCGTCGTATTAAAACCTCGAAGCAGATGGATCCAAATCCTCAACCACCGGGGAAAATGAGGTGAGTGGATCGGTCAATGGAGTGAGTGAGTGGCAAGCCCCCACAGCGCACAGCGGAGCACACGAGACGAGCCAAGGAAGGTTCCTACTCACGGCCTGTGCCCTGTGGGCGCCGGGGCGGCGCGGGCACGGCGTGAGTGGGCTGCACCTGCATGCAGCCTCTAGTAGTAATTGCTGCGCGACTTGCGTGCTCGCGCCGCGTCCCACCGGTCGCGTCCATTCGGAAAACCGTGCCGGAATCGTTGACCCATCAGGACGAACGGGCAGCGGACAGTGACAAAGCCAAGAGCCCGAGAGGCATCACGGCTCCGGGCAGACGCGTCTACACATGTGCAGTCGCTGTGCCATCGCCCACAATTTGGTGGGCGCGACCAAACATTAGATTTTGCCTCGCTCCTCTCACTCTCACAGCCTCACCATCCCACCAGGATCTGTGCTAATCTCCACGTTTACATCTCGGTCAACTTCACACTGCTTTTAAGGTTAAGCCACCCACACAAAAGAAAAGGATATGGTATGTTAATTACTACACACCGGGAGTAGTATCAGTGGGGCTATAGAGAGGCCAGCCACGGCATTCGCAGACTGCAGAGATCCAGAGAGACCATGCCGCTCCTTCTCCTGCTCCTCCTACTCGGCCTCGCCGGCCCCCGCCGGGCGGCGGCGGCGGACGAGCAGTTCGTCTTCGACGGCTTCACGGGCGCGAACCTCACCATGGACGGCATGGCCACGGTGACCCCCAACGGGCTGCTCCAGCTGAGCAACGCCACCAGCCAGCTCAAGGGCCACGCCTTCTTCCCGACGCCGCTGCAGTTCCACCGGGCGCCCAACAGCACGGCCATGCGGTCCTTCTCCACGGCCTTCGTCATCGGCATCATCGGCGCCTACGACACGCTCAGCAGCCACGGCATGGCCTTCGTCGTCGCCAAGAGCGCCAACTTCTCCTCCGCGCTGCCGGGCCAGTTCCTCGGCCTCGTCGGCTCCGCCAACAACGGCAACGCCACCAACCACCTCTTCGCCGTCGAGTTCGACACCATCCTCAACTCCGAGTTCAACGACATGAGCGGCAACCACGTCGGCGTCGACGTCAACGGGCTCAACTCCGTCGACGCCGACAACGCGGGATACTACGACGACGACGGCACCGGCGCCTTCAGGAACATCAGCCTGGTGGACCGCAAGCCCATGCAGGTGTGGGTGGACTTCGACGGCCGGACCATGCAGGTCAACGTCACCATGGCGCCCCTGCAGGTGGCCCGGCCCAAGCGGCCCCTGCTCTCCGCCGTCGTCAACCTCTCCTCCGTCATCGACGGCACCGCGTACGTCGGGTTCTCCTCGTCCAGCGGCATCCTCTTCTGCCGCCACTACGTGCTCGGCTGGAGCTTCAAGATGAACGGCGCCGCCCCGGCGCTCAACATCTCGTCGCTGCCGTCGATGCCGGTCACCTTCCCCAAGCCGCGGTCCAAGGTTCTGGAGATCGTGCTCCCGATCGCGTCCGCGCTGCTCGTCTTCGCGGTGGCCGCCGCCGTCTTCGTGTGCATGCGGCGGCGGCGCATGTTCGGGGAGCTCAAGGAGGACTGGGAGGCCACCTTCGGGCCGCACAGGTTCTCGTACAAGGACCTCTACCACGCCACCGACGGGTTCAGCGACGAGCGGCTGCTGGGCATCGGCGGGTTCGGTCGGGTGTACCGCGGCACGCTCCCCAAGTCCAAGTCGGCGGAGATCGCGGTGAAGAAGGTGTCGCACGGGTCGAGGCAGGGGATGAGGGAGTTCGTGGCGGAGGTGGTGACCATCGGTCGGCTCCGGCACCGCAACCTGGTGCAGCTGCTGGGCTACTGCCGGCGCAAGGGCGAGCTGCTGCTGGTGTACGACTACATGCCCAACGGCAGCCTGGACAAGCACCTGTACGACGACGGCGAGAAGAAGACGGCGGCGGCGGCGGGCCTGGGCTGGGGGCAGAGGTTCCGGATCATCAAGGGCGTCGCGTCCGGGCTGCTGTACCTCCACGAGGACTGGGAGCAGGTGGTGGTGCACCGGGACATCAAGGCCAGCAACGTGCTGCTGGACGCCGACATGAACGGCCGGCTGGGCGACTTCGGGCTGGCGCGGCTGTACGACCACGGCACGGACCCGCACACGACGCACGTGGTGGGCACCATGGGGTACCTGGCGCCGGAGCTGGGGCACACGGGGAGGGCCTCCAAGGCGTCCGACGTGTTCGCACTCGGGGCCTTCATGCTGGAGGTGGCGTGCGGGCGGAAGCCGGTGGTGCAGGACGCGCGCGACAACCACCTGGTGCTGGTGGACTGGGTGCTCGACCAGTGGCGCGCCGGGGCGGTCACCGGCGCCGTCGACCCGCGCCTGGGCGGCGACGTCGTGGAGGAGGAGGCCAGCCTGGTGCTGCGGCTGGGCCTGCTGTGCTCGCACCCGCTGCCCGGCGCGCGGCCGACCACGCGGCAGGTGGCGCAGTACCTGGACGGCGACCTCAAGCTGCCGGAGCTGTCGCCCACGTACCAGAGCTTCAACATGCTGGCGCTCATGCAGGACCAGGGCTTCGACCCCTACGTCATGTCCTACCCGATGACCTCCATCACCGCCGGCACCATGTCCCAGATGTCCGACCTCTCCGGAGGGAGATGAGCCGCGGTCGTCGGCGCGTAACTAGAACTGCTGTCTGCTAGCATCTTCAGATTTCGTTTGTGTTCAGAACCGGGTGAGTTTCTTTGTGTGGTACTAGTACATGGATCGATAACCTGAATGTAAAGTGTTGTGCGATCATGCTCAGCATGGTTTGATGTTCAGATGAGATATTACAGACCAAAAAAGGGAGATTTGGGTGTTTGATCTCCCACCCCAGCTTTGTAAACTAATGTAGTGCTAGGAGTTTCTGAATGTAAACCATGATGCTGATCCCCTCCAAATCTGAATATTTCGTTTATGCTAGGAGTAGTAGAGATCCTGACGGCTGACGTTCCGAATTACCCATGCCACAAGATCCAGAACCTGACACAAGTTCCAAGCGTGTTGAACATATTTTTACAGATACATTGAACATCTTTCTAACGTAAATATGGTTTACTCTCTTTCTTGACACAGAAAGTTATATCTTTTGATGAAAAACATATTGCTCAGTAAAATTGGTTTGATTTACCCCAAAGAAGAAAGCATTGCTCTGGGCATCTAGAAGACGGAAACCAAGGAAAATAATTGGTCCGCTGCAAGAAATTATCTGAGTGAGATATTATGATACAGTAGCATATGTATCAATAAGTCCTTCCAGAAGAAATAGCATGTGACCTCATATGGTCTATGATGTCACGGGTGATGCAGACTTTGTGCTTCCAGAATCCATATACAGAGGCAGTTTCATGCCTGTCAGAGCAACCAGATTGGAAGGCATCATATGCATGGGATGAAGCCAAAGAACAAAACCAAGGCCGTAGCCAAATGCTGTAAATTCTACGCAATAACAAATCCTACAAAATGTACAAAGTACAAACCCACACAACGATCGTTTCTAAGGAATACAATTCTCACAAAATCCTGTTTTTTTCTTTTATCAAACAACTCCAAAGCATTTGGACCCTGATAGACAATTGGATCTAACCCAAGTGTCAGGTAACACAATAAGGCCTTGAACTTCCCAAATAACATGATTTCCATCAATAATACATGACACAGCCTTTCAGCGATCCAGATTGGCAGAATAACTAAAATATATGTAAGCTTACAGAAATGGTGTCTATCAGCAAGTCATGGATTATATATTTTGTCAGTAATGGAAAGAATACAGTATCTCAAAATGCTTCTAGATTCTTGTCAGTCTAAATCAACGGCCTTTTTTGTCAAAAAAAATCCTATAAGAACACGGCGCAAAACTGTACCCCACGAAATAAGGAATCCATGAATCCTCAGTTGATCTTGATCAGATACCATGATGGCACAGTGCAAAAGCCAAAACTGCACTCTTCTTTGGTGATATGTGAATTTCTCCAAAACTCATCCAAAGATCTCCGGAGAAAACATTCATAAAACCAACCGAGGGATCCAAGCAGAAGCTGTCAGAAAACATGAAATTAGACAAAGAAGAGTCAAGTAAAAAAAGGTTAACAAGGAGCCAACAGGACTTCAGAAACACAGCACGCCAAATAAAGTGGAAGGTACACTGATCAAATCTGGAGCTAAAACACCAAACTTCTAGTCCATCTTTTGGGATAAGAGTTGCCCTTCACGACAGGGGTCACAGTCCACAGTCATGAAAACCAATGCTTACCAAACCATTGGTAAGCCTTGCTGTCTTTTCCAAAGCAATTTTTACGAAGTTGCAACTTGGACATTCAGATCCAAGATTTGATGTATTTGTTCCAAATGGTGTTAGCTAACAACACCTTCATACTCTAGAAAGAATTGTCCTTTTTTTGCATGGTTCAGCAAACCACAGCACGCACACCGACACACTCGTACAATTAGCAAATTGTAACTTACAATCATGTACTTGGTCCCACTTCAGTCCAATGCATAACCCATACAGACTGGCACATACCAGTTACAATGTCAAAGGAAGGGAACCGTACAATTAAAATTTGGAAAGTCTTTTGCAATCCTGGTTACTAAACATGAATTTCTTGAGCACATTATTAAATTTGCAGCAGAGAACTTCAACAACGCAAAATTATATGATTGCATCAGCTCTACCAAAAAACTCGTTTCACTCGTTATCACGAGTTGCAAACTTCATCAACACGAAATTATATGAAATAGATACCTGGGTCACATAGAGGTTAGCAAAATCCTGTTTTTTTCATTTCCTATTTGAAACAACAAAATTATAGTAATCCTCTTCCCCGTAAAGTCTCCTGAAAACATGAGAAGAATAAGCATCAAGATAGCTGCCAGTTAAGGAATATACAAAAGTCAAATGAGGAAGATTGCAAGAACCACAGCATTGCAAAATCTGGTAGGTTTTGCATTCATTTGGCCAAACTCATTACCTACTCCTTCAGTTGTAAATTTTGAAAGGCAATTTCAAGGCTACCAATCTCCTATTGACTCCTTCCTAAACAGTGTTATTCTGCAGTTTGATCCTTAGTTTTCTTTCAAGGAGACAGTAAGGGAGGATCCTGTTGTAAATATATCATGGTGACATAAAACCAACTAATCTATCTCCAGCTGGGCAAAGCCATGTCAGATGAGCTCTCAACAGGCAATATTATCAACAGAAAGAAGCTTTTCTCTCTGTACTAGATAGGTGGAATATTTCTGAAAAATACTATTATGCCTCTTAAGCCAAATATTCCAGCATGCTAATGTACTAGGTTCCTTCAAGAAGTCTTCTAATATACAGTAAAACTAATAATGACGTGAAAGTACTTCTAAATAAAAATCTAACACTACTATTTTTATGTAATCATCAAAATGACACGAATAGCTGCCAAAATACACACAACGATCCAGCGGCACACACAAACCCTATGAAAAATGGCATCTTGCATGTGCCACATGTGAATGGGCCCGTTCCAGTAAGACCAAGACCATAAATTTGGGCAGTATTATCCATGGGTACCATAGAAGGGCAATGCATCTCCAAATATAGTGCTACATGAGCTCATGATATGCAAAAGAAAACAGATAGGAACTTGACTTCACTTACGCTACATCTGCTGACGAACCACACTTTATCACACCTTTCCCTTCAGTCCCTTCAAGGCAAATGTAGTGCATTATGATTTCTCTTAGCGTTGTCTTTGTGCTCTTAATATCGTTGTCCCACAAAATAGTCTGCCCCAAAGAAATAAAATGTGAAGACATATAGATCCAATAAGTAAAACAAGACAGTAACTTTGATGTTTGAACAGAACAAATGCAAGAGCAACATTTTTAAATACCTTTCTCACATACTCTCTTTTGAAATCCTCCCAAGGTACTTTGCCTTTAGCAGAGAAAATGGAGGCATTCCACAAGGCACCTCTAGCAGCCATTACAGATGTGGCACCTAGAAGTCAAAGTAATCAAGACACAAACCCATTGTTTAAAACAACATGAAAGAGAATAAACAATAATATGCCGGTGCACTCTGACTCACCAAGAACTGGAAGCAAGGTGTTAATCCCTCACATTTGTGCAGTTTTTTTAGAATACCTTTATGGGTTTTCAAGAAACTCAGATTATGCATGCTTGTTTGCGAATGAATATTTTCATTTTTCCAGTTAACTCAGATGTTTATTGCCATTTGGCGCTGAGGAAATGATATAGTACTACTATCGCAATCAAAGTACATGGAGATTTTTCTTTTGGCTAGGTGTAAAGTAAGCACAATACTGATAACTAGCAAGCAAAGAAACCCGAAGTAGCGAGATTTAAGCTGAGATCTATTTATGCATTTGTCAATTTCTCTTTAATGTACTATACTATAAAAATTACTATTATAAATAAAAGAGCATATGAATGGAACATACAAACCTGTAGCATCTTTGATTCTCTTAAAATCTTCGTACTCAAATACATTCCCATTAGCTATAACTGGAATTGACAGTGCGGATACAACATCAGCAATCTCATCCCACTTAGCCGGATCCCTTGGCCTGTCTTTGACCTTTCTGCAGTTTTACAGAAGGCTGACATAAGGAAAACAACCACTCGAAAATGATCCTAGGGTCCATGAAAAATGGAAGATGATATATGCACCACGTCATATTTCATTTTGATTACTGTGAAAACAAAACCCAATGGATTACAAAGTAAATCTACAAGTTAGTTAATGTATGGATAGTGGGCAAAAATGCGAGTCAGTCCCTGAACTTTCCATGGATTTAAGTCGTATCAATTTGGGTACTACAAAATTCTAATAAACCGAATGGCCATGCATATGAATATAATTTTCACCACGATTTGCAATCTTGGGTGTTAAATTTGGTTGATACCCTTTAAAAACACGAATGGCATATTGTGCGCTTTCAAGCAAGATAAGACTCAGAAATACAATTGCATCTGTGCTTACCTTCCATGGACAGCCAGAGCTGGAACACCACATTTCTCAATCCGGCGTGCCAATTCCACAGTGTCCTGACGTGTGTTCAGTAGACGGATTTTACATGTCACTGGTGTGTTCAAGTTCCTCCACAATGTGGTCAAAATCTACATGGAATAATTTGCATAGCCTGAATAAGCCTAGTAAAGTACAAGGCATGAAAGTAAGAGAACAAATAAGACCATATAGGCATGTACATCATGTATAAGCTCAGGTTTGGAGAGTAATGCAGAACCCATTCCTCCACTGACAGAAAAAGCCTTTGGACAACCCATGTTGATATCTATAGCAGCGACATCATTACACCTGATGAGGATGAAAAATTACGATTAAAGAGAAGATGCTATGTTTAAAAGACCAATTCAAAGCTTTGATCAAATCATCAGATCAAACAATTTAGTTAGCACCCTTTCCCCATAACACAGTGCACTTTAAGTTATTCGCTGTTGAGAACAAACTCAGAAGTAAGGCTTACACAATCTCAGCAGCTTTAAGTGCTCTCACAGCATCTGACGTGCCGATTTGAAAGACAACCTTGTCCCTTTCTTGCGGGCATGTTCGGAAAACAACACTATCAGTCCCTCTCTCCACAAAATCAGTTGTCCCAAGAGATTCTGACCAATGATGAACACCATAAATTAGAATGAGTGGAACCAAAAAACACAAATCTGGAGAACATGGGGAACAAACAAAAAAATCCAGTGGCGTTAAGTTGTCCTTAAATTATACACTTGTACACTAAGCAGTCCTTAAATTTGTTCCCTGTCTCCAAACAAAAAAAAATCACATCCAAGAATCATCTCAGATAAATGCTTTCAGTCACTAACTTAAAATGCAACATTATTGGAGTAAAGCTATCTACAATACTATGAGATATGGCAGTCACAGTTGTGAAATCAAAATGAACTGTGAAACATCAATTGGACTACAATACCATTTATAACGCGTTGACAGTTCACAAACTTATGATCTATTATTTCTTCTCCGTACGTAATATCCGCGCCATATTCAGCAGCCAATAGCCTAAACGGCAGAGTACCCTGCAAAAATCACTGACAGAATAAGGATAGTTCCACATATGACTAGTATTTATGTTGAAGAAATATGTGGCAAGGAGGATATTGTCTAGAAATAACTGTGATTTGTGGAGGATAACCAGCATTTATTCAGGAATCCAGCATCGGGCAACTAAGAACCATACAAAGAGCTAAATCAGTTCATCGATAGAGATATCGTGCTATTTATTCCAGTCCTAGAGCATAAAAAAACCCTGATTTCCGACTACAAGAGATCTCTCGGGCTTCGCTTTGACTAACACGGCTAGCAACGGGGCAATCGTCCATCGAGCAACGCGCCGAGAAGCCGAGCTACTCGATGACCCCGTGCGCACTAAAGCTTCCTGCTCTAGATTCAGGGAGACTTGAATCTAGGACCCCCGTGCTCCGGGGGCTAAAACTCGGTTCCTACGGTCCCAACTCAAGCGGGCGCTGCTGCGAATCGGGGCGGGAGGGTTTGGAGTAGTTACCGCGCGGACCATGGGCGCGAGCACCATCTTGTTGCGGTACTCCATCTCTTCTTGCCTCGCGTCGCCGCGTCTCCGCCGCTGGCCGCTGCGGCTGCTCCGCCTCTGGCCCTCTCCTTGCTACCCCGGGGAATTCTGGAGGACGAGGGTCCGCGGCGGACAGTGCCGCAGAGAAGAGAAGGCGACGCTGGCGGCGACCGCGCTGTCCCGTGCAGGAACAGAGCACTGTGTCCTTTCCGGACCGGATCCTCTTGCACGTTTCTTGTTGGGTTGGACCCTCAAAAGCCCAACTCTTCTTGCTCGGGCTGGGCTGCGGTGATCATAAATAAAGCTTTTGTGCCATTTTTTCAGTTTTCTAATAAAATCTGGTACCCCTAAAAAAATTCTGGTGTCTTTTAGAGCAAAAAAGAAGCCTGGTTTCTTTTAGAGCAAATTGTGTCAAACAATATAATTATTCAACTTTGCCTCGAAAAAAAAATCAACTCATACGATCGTATCAAGGTCGATCCCTCGTGTGGGCCGTGTGGTGGTTGGTTCTCTCCGTTAAGGTAGGCGATTTCGTGGCGGTCGTCCTCCCTAGGGTTTTGGTGTTGCATCGCCGGAGAGATCAGATCATGCCGAGTCTACAGTCTAGTTCCACTTGTCCATATCGTGCTTTCACGATAGACATTTCGTGTGTGCTAGGGCATATGATTGTGCACCACTGCTTTCAACCCTAGCTTCGGTTGTCTGTTTGCTAACAAAGGCCAGAGAGGATCATGGATCAGGTGGAAGGATTGACGAAGAGTTGAAGTTGTCAGATGGAGGGGAGGGCGGTCGTCTCGAGAGGCGGGGGAAAGGTGGGGGGAGGGGTGCTGAGCCACAAGTCATAGCAAAACTCATCTCGAACAAGTCGGCGCATGTAGAGGCACTAGGAAATGCCCTAGCCAGGGTTTGGTGTCCACTGAAGGGCCTGGATTGTAAGGATATGTGAGAAAATGTTTTCATGTTCATGTTCCTCCATCCAAAAGGGAAGAGGAAAGCTCTTGAAAATGGACCATGGGAATTTGGTAAGGCCCTTTCGATGGTTGAGAATTTTGTTCCAATCAAGACTTTGTGTGAATCACTACTATAGATCATAATAGAGATGAACCCTCATCACTAGCTAGTGCCTGGCCAGACGACACTGACCGCCTAGTCGAGGCGCTGGGAATATGGTATTTTGGACTCGGCTGGATGTATACCACGGACGGGTTTAAAAATGACCGGTCAGTGATCGTGTTTTCCTATGGCCAAAATCGGTGTCTTGTCATCACTAACCGACCGCTTAACTTGACATGTTTGTTTTATTCTTTTAAAATTTAACACTATTGTTGTTTACACGACCAATTATAAGCCATGCCATTGCCTCCCCATTCCAAAGTCTCACAACCTCCATTGAGCCCCTTTCTGGTTAGTTTTAATTGTGTTCGGTCTCGCGATGCCACTCCTATCCCCGAGCCTCCTTCAAACGCTTCCCTCCCTCCTATTGTTGATCTATAAATGGTTACCTCTTTGACGCTCATGTGGCCACCCGACATGGCCTCTCCCATGCCTTCCCAAGCGGCGCTCTCTTGCCATGTGTGACATCGATGACCACATGATGTCGCTTGTATTCGATCATTTCTAGATCCGTGCAGTCTGCCCTACCATCGAACACATGGGTCTCGTGCTCCGTCGTGCGTAGTTGTAGATCCCACATGTGCTCCCTTGTTCTTCAGTCATAGTGGCGCCCACAGTGGTGAACCATTGACTCAGAAGTCTGGTAGAGGTCCGGCCAGGGCCCAGGAGGCCTAAAGAAGGTCCAACACCAAGAGGCGGCCCAAGGCCCAATTGGAGGCCAGAAGACCATCTTGGCATGCAAGCCAAGATGGCAGCGCTATAAGATTGGATAGACTCCATGTAGACCCTAGCCCTCGTCATTTATATGAGGCGAGGCTAGGGGTAGCCATTCTCATCTACTCCCATAGACTAGACTCTCGGTAGCCATATTCATCAACCCTATAAACCCCTCGCATGAGGTGCTCCTGTTGGGGAACGTAGTAATTTCAAAATTTTCCTACGCACTGGCAAGATCATGGTGATGCATAGCAACGAGAGGGGAGAGTGTAATCTACGTACCCTCGTAGACCGACAATGGAAGCGTTATGACAACGCGGTTGATGTAGTTGTACGTCTTCACGGCCCGACCGATCAAGCACCGAAACTACGGCACCTCCGAGTTCTAGCACACGTTCAGCTCGATGATGATCCCCGGACTCCGATCCAGCAAAGTGTTGGGGAAGAGTTCCGTCAGCACGATAGCGTGGTGACGATCTTGATGTTCAACTGTCGCAGGGCTTCGCCTAAGCACCAATACAATATTATCGAGGACTATGGTGGAAGGGGGCACCGCACACGGTTAAGAGAACAATCTTAGAGATCAACTTGTGTGTCTAGGGGTGCCCCCTGCCCCCGTATATAAAGGAGCCAAGGGGGGGTGCGGCCGGCCCTAGGAGGAGGCGCGCAGGAGGAGTCCTACTCCTACCGGGAGTAGGACTCCCCTCCCTTTCCCTAGTTGGATTAGGACTTGGGGGGGGAGGAGGAGAGGGAAGAAAGGAAAGGGGGGCGCCGCCCCCCTCCTTGTCCAATTCAGACTTGGGGGGAGGGGCGCGCGGCAGCCCCTAGACCTCCTCTCCTCTTCCTCCACTAGGCCCATTAAGGCCCATTAGGTTACCGGGGGGTTCCGGTAACCTCCCGGTACTCCGGTAAAATGCCGATTTCACCCGGAACACTTCCGATGTCCAAACATAGGCTTCCAATATATCAATCTTTATGTCTCGACCATTTCGAGACTCCTCGTCATGTCCGTGATCACATCCGGGACTCTGAACTAACTTCGGTACATCAAAACTCATAAACTCATAATATAACTGTCATCGAAACCTTAAGCGTGCGGACCCTACGGGTTCGAGAACAATGTAGACATGACCGAGACACGTCTCCGGTCAATAACCAATAGCGGAACCTGGATGCTCATATTGTCTCCCACATATTCTACGAAGATCTTTATCGGTCAGACCGCATAACAACATACGTTGTTCCCTTTGTCATCGGTATGTTACTTGCCCGAGATTCGATCGTCGGTATCTCAATACCTAGTTCAATCTCATTACCGGCAAGTCTCTTTACTCATTTCATAATACATCATCTCGCAACTAAGTCATTAGTTGCAATGCTTGCAAGGCTTATGTGATGTGCATTACCGAGAGGGCCCAAAGATACCTCTCCGATAATCGGAGTGACGAAAATCCTAATCTCGAAATACGCCAACCCAACATTTACCTTTGAGACACCTGTAGAGCTCCTTTATAATCACCCAGTTATGTTGTGACGTTTGGTAGCACACAAAGTGTTCCTCCGACAAACGGGAGTTGCATAATCTCATAGTCATAGGAACTTGTATAAGTCATGAAGAAAGCAATAGCAACATACTAAACGATCGGGTGCTAAGCTAATGGAATGGGTCATGTCAATCACATCATTCTCCTAATAATGTGATCTCGTTAATCAAATGACAACACATGTCTATGGTTAGGAAACATAACCATCTTTGATTAACGAGCTAGTCAAGTAGAGGCATACTAGTGATGTTTAGTTTGTCTATGTATTCACACAAGTATTATGTTTCCGGATAATACAATTCTAGCATGAATAATAAACATTTATCATGATATAAGGAAATAAAATAATAACATTATTATTGCCTCTAGGGCATATTTCCTTTAGTCTCCCACTTGCACTAGGGTCAATAATCTAGATTACGCAGTAATGATTCTAACACCCATGGAGCTTTGGTGATGATCATGTTTTGCTCGTGGAAGAGGCTTAGTCAACGGGTCTGCAACATTCAGATCCGTATGTATCTTGCAAATCTCTATGTCTCCCACCTGGACTAGATCCCGGATGGAATTGAAGCGTCTCTTGATGTGCTTGGTTCTCTTGTGAAATCTGGATTCCTTTGCCAAGGCAATTGCACCAGTATTGTCACAAAAGATTTTCATTGGACCCGATGCACTAGGTATGACACCTAGATCGGATATGAACTCCTTCATCCAGAATCCTTCGTTTGCTGCTTCCGAAGTAGCTATGTACTCTGCTTCACATGTAGATCCCGCCACAACGCTTTGTTTAGAACTGCACCAACTGACAGCTCCACCGTTTAATGTAAACATGTATCCGGTTTGCGATTTAGAATCATCCGGATCAGTGTCAAAGCTTGCATCAACGTAACCATTTACGATGAGCTTATTGTCACCTCCATATATGAGAAACATATCCTTAGTCCTTTTCAGGTATTTCAGGATGTTCTTGACCGCTGTCCAGTGATCCACTCCTGGATTACTTTGGTACCTCCCTGCTAGACTTATAGCAAGACACACATTAGGTCTAGTACACAACATTGCATACATGATAGAGCCTATGGCTGAAGCATAGGGAATATCTTTCATTTTCTCTCTATCTTCTGCAGTGGTCGGGCATTGAGTCTTACTCAATTTCACACCTTGTAACACAGGCAAGAATCTGTTCTTTGCTTGATCCATTTTGAACTTATTCAAAACTTTGTCAAGGTATGTGCTTTATGAAAGTCCAATTAAGCGTCTTGATCTATCTCTATAGATCTTAATGCCCAATATGTAAGCAGCTTCACCGAGGTCTTTCATTGAAAAACTTTTATTCAAGTATCCCTTTATGCTATCCAGAAATTCTATATCATATCCGATTAGTAATATGCCATCTACATATAATATCAGAAATGCTACAAAGCTCCCACTCACCTTTTTGTAAATACAGACTTCTCCAAAAGTCTGTACAAAACCAAATGCTTTGATCACACTATCAAAGCGTTTATTCCAACTCCGAGAGGCTTGCACCAGTCCATAAATGGATCGCTGGAGCTTGCACACTTTGTTAGCTCCCTTTGGATCGACAAAACCTTCCGGCTGCATCATATACAACTCTTCTTCCAGAAATCCATTCAGGAATGCAGT